GAAACTTCGACAAAAACTTAATATAAAAAAGAGAAAAGAAAACCGTTTCGATTTTGAGATTTTTAATTTGGAAAAATTAAAAAATCCATCAATTAGAAACCAATTCGAGCTAGATGTTAAGAATAGGTTTGAAGCTTTAGAGCTTCCTGACGAGGACCACGAGGATATTGACAAGTTATGGATAGAGATCAGAGATAATATTAAAGCGGTCGGTAACTCTTGTCTAGGAAAAAAGGAAAATAAGAATAACAAACCGTGGTTTGATGAAGATTGCTTAAACATGTGTGAAAAAAGAAAAGCCGCTAAATTAAAAGCTCTAAATAATCCTAGCGAAGACAATCTGGAATACTTCCGAATCTCAAAGAACGAAACGTCAAAATTGCTCAAAAATAAAAAAAGGGAGTATCTTAAAAATAAAATAATTGAAATAGAAACTAATAGAATCGAAAATAACGTAAGAGACATGTACAAAGGTATAAACAGATCACGTAAATATGTAGGGCCCGTAACGTCTGGAATTAGGGATGATAATAACAATATTCTGACCGATCCGGTTGACATATTGAATAAGTTTAAGGACCACTTTGACAATATTTTAAATACGGGAAATTATGATCTGTGTCCTCCTTCTGAGTACCAGAGTGCTGAACCGTTAATAGAAGGACCAAGTAAAGAGGAAGTTGAAGTAGCTATCGGAAAATTAAAATCATATAAAGCAGCGGGAATCGATAATATTCCTGCTGAACTAATTAAGGCATGCGGGGAAGCTGGAGTTTCTAAAATACATCGGTTGGTTAAAAAGATCTGGGTGAACGAGAAATTACCTGAAGAATGGAAAGAATCTATTCTTATTCCGATTCACAAAAAGGGTCCGAGGACGGATTGTAATAACTATCGAGGAATTTCACTCCTTCCGGTATGTTATAAAATATTCACTTTAATCTTAACCAGTCGAATCACGGAATACGCCGAGGAAATTATCGGAGACTACCAATGCGGATTTAGACGGAATCGTTCGACTATTGATCAAATATTTTCTTTACGGCAAATATTAGAGAAAAAATTGGAGTATAACGGTTTTGTTCACCAGCTGTATATAGATTTTAAAAAGGCTTACGATTCTATTGACCGCCAGAAATTGTATAATATTCTAATCGAGCAGGGGATTCCAAAAAAACTAGTAAATCTAGTCAGGATGTGCTTGACGGAGACACTCAATAAAGTTAGAATCGGTAATAATTTGTCCGAAAAATTTGAGGTTCGTTCGGGCTTAAAACAGGGGGATTCTCTTTCGCCTGTCCTGTTCAATTTGGCATTAGAACATGCCATTAGGGAGGTAATGCGAACCGAGAAAGGGTTGGATCTGGGCGGGACAACATCCGTGCTGGGCTATGCTGATGATCTGGTACTGTTAAGCGAAGACGTTGAAACTATAAAACTAAATACGACAACGTTAATGAAAGCCGGGAAAGAACTAGGACTCGAAATAAACGTGGATAAAACAAAATATATGGTTAGCTGCAAAAATGGCGATACTACTGGTGATATCGATATAGATGGTAATATGTTTGAACAGGTAGATAAATTTAGGTATCTAGGTTCTACGATAACTAGAAAAAACGAAATTGAAGAAGAGATTAAGGTTAGACTGAAGGCGGGGAATGCTTGTTATTTTTCTGTGACAAAACTACTTAGTTCGCGCCTCTTGTCCCGAAACTTAAAAATTAGAATCTATAAAACAATTATCTTACCTACAGTTCTTTATGGATGCGAAACCTGGCCCCTTACATTAAGGGATGAGCAGCGTCTTAAGGTTTTTGAAAATAAAGTATTGCGTAGAATATTCGGACCGAAAAAGGATGAGTTAACCGGAGAGTTCAGACGGTTACACAACGCCGAATTGCGTGAGATGTATTCGGGTAATATAATTGAGGTAATTTCATCGCGGCGAATCAAATGGGCTTGTAAAGTTGTTGGGCTTAGTAACGAGAGAATTCCTAAAAGGTTAATATTTGCTGTGCCGAATGGTAAGCGTCCGAGGGGTAGACCGAAGCGAAGATGGGAGGATTGCATTAAAGCCGATCTGAAGGGACTGGGTTTGGACGGCGAACGGTGGAGGGAGGTGTGTAACAAGCGATTGGTGGTGTCGGCATCGAACCTTCGGGTTCGCTAAGCCTTATTATTATTATTATTATTATTATTATTTAATATTTTGAAGGAGCGGTGATGCAGGTGAGAAAGATTTGGTGGAAGAGTGTAGTCCGTGGACCAGATCCTCTTCCGTGCACTCTCCCTTAATATCTTTATAAATTGCATATCGTTGTGTTCCTTGTAATTACATATTAAAAAAAAAAGGCAGTGTTTCCACAAAATAAAGTGGTCGCACTGTCCCAACATGGCATCCAAACATGGCTGAATGACGACTTTGACTTGAGTTAGTTTTTCGGTTACTGAGATTCACCAGTGGCCTTAATTTCATCATAATTGGTCTTTCGCTAAAGCTGGATAGTAAGAGTATAATAAAGTATCAAATAAATTAAAAAAATAATTGACCTTGGCAATAAAAAATACAATTAAAGTCAATTTTTTCAAGTCGTTCAAACTAAAGTTGAAAATCAAGCGTCATTTGTAATTAAATGGTCAACAATAACGAAAAAAGCCTGGAAATAAAAGACCTAGAGAATAAGTTTATATTTTTAAATCACTCATTAACTTTTAAAATATTTGAAACAGTTCTTTAGAAAATGCGCTTAATCGGCGGGAAAGCGGCACTGGCGTAGATGCCAACGAAAAAGATCGAACGCAATAAATGACTCAGATCATTCTAGCTCACTTATTTTGTCAATTAATAATACCTCTTATTATTTATAGCCATTCCTATATCCATGTATCCTAATACTTCAAAATAATAAGTTAAATAAATGTTTACTTCACTAACTCTTACAAGGCAGGTTATTGAAGACATAAATATGAAATTTTCCTAACATTTTCGAGTTTCGAAAAGTTCATTCACCCCAGTTACAATTTTGGTATGCACTTGATGTAAACGTTGGTTAAATCAATTGTTTATTTCAATTTCAGTCTTCTGGTTGTGAAAAGTGCTCTCCCTCTCTCCCACTAAACCTCCCCTCCTCCCTCATCTATTTCAAAATGTTAAAATGAACAAAAATTTACTTCACTGGGTCATATAAGACAAGTTATTGAAGACATAAAGATTAATTGGATAGAACTTAGTAAAAGAGAACCAATGCATAAAAATATTTTCCCACTGATCCTCCACTTTTTTGTCTTCACTCATTCGAAGTACTCCTCCAATTTTTTTTTTAGAAGTTGAAATTTCTTTCGCCATTTTTTAAACATTTATTTTAGGAGATTAGAATTAAGAAGAAAATCGAACATCCAGAAACGCATTCACAGTATGAAGTGATTTCTAGGGTGAGAGGAGGTGAGGTGCAGCTTGACAGGGGAAAAGCTTTGCAGCCTCCCTTCCCCTGCAGACAAACTTCTTAGATGCAGTATGCATTCCTTACTTATTTATAGATTAGAGGCAAATTCCTAAACTGAGATTATCTATGAGCATCAGAGATCTAAAAGGTTATTTTTAAACTCATTGATGTTAACAGTGGGTTAGTTCCTAAACTCAACAATACTGAGATGATTGATGAGCATCAGAAATCCATCAATGGATTAATGTTGAACTTAAGAACTTGCCCATATCTCACTACTTTGAAATCTCTCTTTTTTTATATAGAGCTCCCAGCCTGTAGGTAGACTGATGGAATATGAGGCTTTAATTGGCTACTGTCCATACTTATTTGAATGGCCATATAACTTAAAAGTTGCTCCAAACGCTTGTAATGTTGATTACTTCCTTCTGTTAAATGGTGTACAACTAGCTCTATTTGATTAAGAATTTAATTATTTAACGACTTATTTTGTATGAAGAAGAGTAGAAATTGTTCTTGGGTTTTTATGAAAGGAGGTACCTCTTCCATTGATAATTATTTTATTTATAATCTCCTATTCAATGTTTCGGGTTACTGGCCCATCTTTGAGGACAATTTATTCTTCTGGTAGCCGTCAACTATTATATATAATCAAAAATATTGACTAGAGAATTATAAATAAAATAGTGATATCTTCTTTATGGAAAACAATAATTAATTATTTATGTGAGATAGTGAGTAAAAGTTGTGTGATGCTTAGTGCATCACATTTTTATTTTTATTTTTTTATGTTTCAACCCAAAATGAATTAAGGTATGTATTAAAGAATGGTACAGCATTAAATGTAGACAGACTCTGATTTAGCTAAAATGTTTTATTTTTTTACTACCATTACATTATATCCAATTTATTCTAATGAATTGCTAGATTTTTTAAAAAGTATTACAAACATTATTGCTATTATTTATCGCTATTGAATAATAATTCTATATTATAATTCTGATATAGAATGAATGAATCAAAGTCAAATAGAGAGCAATATTTAAATTAGATTCCATAGAAAAAGTAAAATATATAAATAAAACAATTATTAGAAGTGGCTACTGGGAGAACAATATTTTTATACAAATGAAAAAAAAGTACCTTTGAATGTAACTTAAATTCATTTACTTCAATAAAATTTTCAAAGTTGTTTAAGCCCAGGTAGCAACAAGCGTAATACACTAGGTTTCTTAATTCTTGAATCTATTTTGATTTGAAAACTAAAATTGAATATATATATATATATATATATATATATATATATATATATATATATATATATATATATATATATTATTTTTGGCCTCTACTCTGTAGAGTAATTTGCAACAATTTCACCTTAAATTTTTCATACTCTTAAGTAAAATGTAAACATTGTTTTAAGTTTTATTGTTTTAAATAATTCTAGATTAAAATTGTAACTTCTTGTATTGCATTGTTGATATTAATGATCAACCAAGACCAATTTGTTTGAGGAAGTACCATTTAATTGTGAATTTATTCTTTACTTACCATCGACTACAAGACATCGTCCTTCTGTTCCTATTTTCCCATTGAACCTCCCATGAGTTGAATCATACTTCAACAGATAGGCCATATAATCAACATTTACGAATGGATCATTAATAGCAGCGACCTGAATATATTTTTATATAATTTATTAAAAACTGTATGTATCCATATATAACATTCATCGCTTTATAGTTATTATTCGAATTAGTTATATTTACTTTAACACCAGATTTTACAGCATGTCGTAAAACAAGGCGACCTATACGTCCAAAGCCATTGATGCCCATTTTTATTTCACCACCGCTTCCATCATTTTTTTTACATGGATTACTGTTTGAAATGAAAATTCATTATATTTGAAAAAAATGGACATAATAAAAACAATTTATAATCATTAACAATTTTGCTTTATAGATAACATTTGATTATCAATACTTCTCTTTTAAAAGAAACCTACTCAAAATAAAATCATAAGCTCTCTTCAAATCCTTGGAAATACTTTGATTCTCTGGTAACACGCAATAATTAGAGGGGGATTTGATGTAAAATGTCTATTATAAAATATGTTTATATGTTTATCTCATAAATTCAACTTTTTCTTCAACTTAAATTAATTTCCAATATCATATAATGTATAAGTAGATATAAGTTTTTGATCTATTAGCATTGAGAAATTAGACAAACTGACCACTTAATTTCAGATCAATCATAAAATGTTTGAAAAAATGCTGTTATTCAATTTAAAATACATATCCATTGATTGCATAAACATGCTTGGTAAGTTCAGCCCATTGCCAAAATGATGGAAAGGTTTTTGATATTGCCTTTCAATTTTTAACACTGATTAGATATCATGTGTTTATAGCAATGCAGTGTAATGAACATATTCATTTAATAGAGGGTTGGTCTTGTTCTTCTTGTGCTCATGATGGGTATCAGCCTTCATCCGAAACAAGACATTAAAAATTGTCTTAACCAATCAAAGTATTTTAACTCCATTCAACAGATGTTTGACTATATGGTGTCAAGTGGTATCACTGCCAACAACAATTATTTTAAAAAACAAAAAATTACTCGATTTCCAATATTCAATTTATCTGTTTCCTCTCTTTTATTTTTTACTTTTGGAGTGAGTGTTCATTAATAATTAAAGTTAAGAATAATTAATTCATAATAAGAATAAATAATTAACTAATGAAACACATACTTACGTAGCATAACAGTGTGCTACTATTTGTATAACAGGTTTTGGCATCAGAAATGTCCGAATTTGACCAAGCTTAAATATCTCCACTTAAAATGAGAATATCACAGTTAGATAGTATTAAATAATAAAACTTTTTTTTTTTCAATTGTATTCACATTATGAATTTCATACTTACTTGAACAAGAAATAGTTATCAAATTTAAGACTTTGTCAGCAACAGGAAAATTAATATTGTAAAACTGAATATTGTACTATAAATTGGCACTTTTAAGTATTATGATCAAGTTATACAAATAAAAAACATATGTGGTAAATCAATGCATATGGAAATAATAACAATAATTTAAAAAAAAAAGAAGTTAGATTTATGCATATTATTTTAACCAATTACAAAATTAAATTCACATTATGTTTATTTCAACACTTTACAATGAGTGAAATTGAACTCGGTGCAGATTTTTGGTAAAGACCAATTAATCCAAGGTAGTAAGGACCTCAATCACATTAACTTTTATATCAAACTTTTTTAAAAGAAATTATTTTAAAAAAATTAAAAACAGATTAGTTTTTGATACTTAAAAGGTAATTATTTTAATAAGAGGAAAGAAATTGAAAGTTTAAGAAAATAAATGATCCGCTTGGGTAGATGCGGAATGTAACAATAAATAAATAAATAAGAAAATAAAGTAAATTAAATAACATTTTATTTTATTAATTTGTTTAATTAACAAAAAATCAATAATATTTTATTTATTCTTACTAAAAATGGATCACATATAAACCTTAATATCATATGTGATTTTAACAAAAGGTGTAACATTTGTATTATAAGAGTATTGATTAAAATAAAATAGAAACCTTTGTAGAAAAATATTCATTAGGCTTAATAATCCTTGATCTTATCATAACATATTGTAACACAATAAAAACATAAATACTTTATAATATTATTTACTAAAATAGGACAAAATGATATATATTAACTAATTATTTTATTGATTTTGTTCTTAATAGTTAAGAAAGTCAAGCTGAATTTCCAAAGTATTTGTTTTATTAAAACATAATAGAAACAAATATTTAAAACAATGGCTTCATAATATACGCACTAGATAACAAAAAAAATTAAAATTAGAAACTTATATAACCATTTCAAACAAAAAAAAATTTGAATTTTGATGTGGAGTATAAATGAAACAGGTCAATGCTGTTGGACTATATGCTGGATGACTCAATCAAATACTTCATTAAATATTTTATTTTTCTGTTAGGTAAAGATTTTCTTTTGACTAAAAATGTAAAAGAGTGATAGAAATGTAGTTGACATAATGCTCCATGCATTCTCTCAAACCCAAAATCAAGAAGTCATTGGAAATGGGAAAACAATAAATCAGCCCTTAATAGTTACTGTATATTAATTTATCTCATATACATGATTTCATACTAAATTTTGTCCTAGTAAATTGATCATATCCACAGGGCTGATGAGAAAAATGCCCATCTGCCAACTTATATACAAACAAAGAGTACAAAATGGCGGACATGCGAAGATAGATAGAGATGGTACTTCGGTTGTAAGCAAGGTCAATAAGACTACCAGGTTCGCTCACTCAGAGAGAAAATGGTGGGGAGGAATCGAGCTCTGAGGTAGCCAATAGACTTATTTTACCCCTCCGGCCTTTGTTTCTGGACATTTTAACATTATTATTTACTTTTCTACATTAACTCAATACTATATTGCCAAATAACTTATTAATTTATTAATTTTATTAAATTTGAAAGGTGAGAGAAAGGTTGATTTGATATTTGGTTTATTCTGAAGCAAATAAAATGTAATTTAACAAGTTGATGTATGATTGTTTGCAAAATACCACAATACTATTTTTTAAATATTTCAAATAAATACAGAGCATAATATAAAATAATAGAAATATTAAAAAAAAAAGAAAAGGTATTTAATCTAAAATTAAAGAACCGTTTTCTAACCGTGTTTTTTTGTAAATATTACATTTTAATGTCATAAGTAATCCTATGTAGTGATTTTTTTTCTCAAGTTTTTTGCCTTTGATTTAAAGTTTTCTTAATTGCTGTAAAAATCTTTGGGTATTTAAAAATTTGATTCTAATAAATACCCGTTGCTGAAAGAAAGCCTTTACCAGTTCTTCATTAATTTCTACATTTTGTTTCCTAAGAAAAAGATTAGTCAATTTGTTTACAATATTTGTTTTGTTTTTTACAATATTTTTACATTTACATTTTAAAATCCAACCTTTTCTTCGAGCCTCCTTCGGAAAAGTATGAAATGGAATTTTCTTTCCCATCTTCTTTGCGTCAATTAAATTATTGTTGCAAGATGCAACTGCGCATCTTGTACCTGGCATTCTATAAGATTCTATGAATAATTATGTTATTATGAGAAATACTAGAACAAACGAATTCTCTGCAATATGTTATTAAAAATAACAATTAAATACTCATTATAATATTATTTTAGAGACGGATAAGTGGTTGGCTGTTAAGATTATAAAGTAAAAATAAATTATCAGGATTTGCTGTAAAAATTTGTTTATTTTTTAAATTAAATTTGTTTATTTAAAAAAATTTGACTGCAAATCCTGATAAAGATCTTCACCCTTATAATATTAAAAGAAATACCCACGAGATCTACGAAAAAAATACAACAAACATTGTGCTAAAATGTTCTCTACTCTAAATAAATATAAATCTTTTTTCTATTTATGTAATATATTTGTAAATTATTTTATAAAGATTTTGAAATAAAGAATTTATAAATAATCTTAATATCAATTTCGTTCTTTTCATTTCAGGTATAGCCTGTATTTTTCATAGCATTTTATTCTAGATTGATAGCCGTATTTATTTATTTATTTACTTGAAATTGTATCAATCAAACGCCAAAAACACAGAAAAGTATTCTTCTCAAGAAATTAAACAATAAAACAAATTTTACAATGGTTTATTATATTCAAACAATTATATATCTAAAGTAACATTACCTTCCTAGTAACAAAGAAAAAGAAATAAAAGATGATTCCTGTTATTGGCCTAAACAACTTATTTTTTCATCATAAGTAATTTGCTAAAAAAATAGCATTACTGTAGTAACACATTGAAAATAAAAAAACAGATAAAGGATATAACGTTTGTAGTAGAACATACAACAAATATCTAGTGACCATATCTTTGCTCGCAATTATCCGATTTTAACATTTTTTTAAAATGAAATTTCATGAACTTTTAATCGGATCATCCTCGAGTGAACTCTGACTTTAAATCCGAATACGAAAAATATCGTTGTAGTAGTATTGGAGAAAATGAGTGAACGGCGGACTGACAAAATATTTGTATTCGATTTTCGAATTCTTCATATCCTGAAACGTAAAACCTCAAATTTTGAAGGGGATTAAGTTTTTGAATTTTTTGGTCGATTACAATGGTTCATTGTTGAAAATAATAAACCAAAATTTAATTTACGATTTAAAAAATTTACTTTTTTCGGCTTTTCACATATATCAGTGAATCTATGCGTTCTATCTATAATAATGCTATATGTGAAATTAAAGCTGACAAAATTTTCAATATACATTGTTATATTAGTGTTTTCGCAATATTTTATAGTTTTCGTGATATTTGTCCTCGTAATTCACTAATTTAGAAAAAAAAATTTGCATGGCATTTTTTGTCATTATTTGACCCGTCCACTCCTTATATTTCATTTTACGAAAATGTCATGAGGAAGAAAGTTGTTTAATATTAAATTTTCTTTAAGAGCATGTGTTACGCTACTTTACTATGTTATCTTCAACCATTCAAATTCTAGAGCAATTATATCTTAATGACTCTGAAACTATACAGAAAAACTTCCTTTTCGCAATTTTCCATATTACACAGCTCTTAACCTGTATATAAGACAGTATGTAAGACAATATGCATGTGCATATATATATACTGCATATGTATAAATATATATATATATATATATATACTTCCTTATTTGCCGATTAAGCTATGTAATATCGAAAATTGCGATAAGTAAGTTTTTCTGTGTAGTTTCGGAGTTTATAATCATTAAGTTATAATTGCTCTAGCCTTGAATGGTTGACGATAAGATAGTAGAGTAATATCTTAAAGCAAATTTATTATTAAACAACTTTCTTCCTCACGACTTTTTCGTAAAATGAAAAGATAAAAGAGTTGGCGGGTCAAATAAAGTTAGTGAATCGAAGTTAGTGAATTACGAGGACGGATTTCACGAAAACTATAGAATATAGTGAAACAATTAATATAACCATTTCTATTGGAAATTTTGTTAGCTTTAATTTCACATATGGCAATATTATAAATAGAATGTATTGTTTCACTGATGCCGATGAAAAATGTAAACTTTTTGAATCATAAATTCAATTTTTCGACCTGAAACTCACGGGTAGGGGTTGACTGAGTATTATTTCATGTCTTAAGATTGTAAATACTATAAGTTGAATACTCCTTTCGTAGCTTTTTATATCTATAAGCCCTCTCTGTATATACGCTTACAACTTATGTAGGGTCTCTTTCTATCTTCACATGGCCGCCATTTTGTATCCGTTGTTTGTATATATGTAGGCAGACGTGCATTTTTCTCATCAGGCTTGTTGATATCACTAGCGGATCCAGGATTTAATTTTGGGGGGCTTCAGCCCGAAACCTTTTGTTTTCATAAAAATAGCGATAATTACTTTGGAAAAACAGAAAGAAACTAACTACCTATATGAAATGGTGTTTAAGTTATTCCTTAAGTACTTTTAAATGTAATTACACGAACAATAACACTTTAAGAGGTATTTTTTAAAAAATTTTCCCCATAAAACATGGTTATACTTTTCCATTTTGGGGGGGGGGCTTCAGCCCGAAAGTCCCCTCCCCCCCTGTAGATCCGCCCGTGGTTGATATCATCAATTTATTAGGACATAGATTAGTATAAAATATGACACCTTTTTTGCCACGGGCTCCAGGACTATGAATCTAGGAATGCTATGATAACTTACTTCTTTTTAAAAGAACAAACATTTTAGCTGTAATGTTATGTAGCAAAAACGCAAAATTGTATATCTACTGGATACTTTACACAATTTCTATTTTAATTGTAATTGTAACTCTGATTCATCAAATGGAGCAAGGAACTGAATTACTATATTTAATGTAGCCAATCTTCAATCTTGCATTATAAATCATCAATTTTTTATTCATAAATGCTTCTTAACCAATTATATGAAATGAAATGATATGTTAACATAATTATATATGTTTATAATACAAACTA